GTACGAGGCCCTTACTAAAGATCCTCCTTGAACGACTTACGATACCAAGCATGAAGCCCTTCTCATCCATATTGTAGATATGACGCGCCTCGACGTGATATTGATTAATTTTATCGCGTAGGAGGCTAAAGTAGAGGTTGTATTTGCTTCTTGAATCTGCTTTGTGGCGACAGTTATCAAGGCCTTTTGCCCACCTTGAGGTAAGTTGATCAGGATAGCGCTGGACGAAGCGACTAGCCCAGTGTACTCCAACCTCAGTCTTGGCGATCTGTGAGGCAAAATTGCGTATCATTGGCTAAGTAGGTGGTAAGCCTCTATCTATTAGTCGATTAATATAGGCGATTAGGGCCTGCTCTTGCTGTGGGTGGAGGAGCTGCCGTTTTTGGCCACCTATCGCGCGTGAGGCGTGTAGGCCTTGGTGTCTTTGGGTAAGCGTAGATCAAACAATACTATATTTTTTTGCAATATCTGTATACGAAAAAGGCTCATTAGGTCCTAGGGCATTAATAGCTGCAAGCGCAGCCTTAATATTAGCCATGGTGGTGGGGATACGACGCGTTGAGGTTGAGGTGGTTGTAAGGCGCGCGCGCACTTTGTGGTCGCGCGCACTTTGTGGTGGGGCTAGTTATATACGTTTGCTGCAAGGGCCTCCGCCCTCAGCACTTCTCTTGCTCCACCTCTGCCATAGCCATTTCTTCTAGTTGACCACACTCACCATGGTGCGAAACGTAAACAGGCTGTTGGCTATCGCGGGCTCCACCTCGGCCGCCGTCCTCGACTTGCCCATCAACATCGTGGGTAGCTACTCCAGCGTCCAGCTTGACCTTGGAACACCTCCAAAGCTACATCAGTACCTCTTCGACACAGGATCCTCAACACTGTGGACAGTGAGCACCAACTGCACCGAAGCATCCTGCAAATACGGCAATGAAGCAAACTACAAGCGCCAGTACTACAATGCTTCTGCATCTTCGACAGCCGTCGACCTCGACAGTAGCGCAACGACCCCCTACCTGGGTGGACAAATCACCGGTGTGGCGTACAAGGATGTCATCACCATTCCAGGCGGCAGTCTAGAATGGAACCAGACCTTCCTCGCCGTCAACGAGAGCGATTGGCGCTTCATCACCGCCGACGGCTTCCTTGGGTTGGGGTTCTCTTCCATTGCAGAGGACAAAACCTCAACTCTAGTCGAAACACTCATGTGGGACGGCAAGCTCGACAAGCCGCGTTTCAGCGTGTACTATGGCAACCATCTCGACAAGCAAAACAGCGGCGGCCTTCTCACCATTGGCGGCAGCCACGAGGACAAGTACGTCGACGGCGAGGTCGTCTACACGCCCTTGACCAAGACGGACACGTACGAGCTTTGGGCCTGCCCGCTCCGAAGTGTGAACGTGCTCGTCGCCCAGAACGCAACCAGCCCCAACTCGACGGTTGAAACTCGAGTCGGCAAACTCCCCACGACAGCCCTCGCAACGGGAACCTACCCCGAGGCCAACGTCACTTGGCCAATGTTTGGCACTGGCCGCGCAGTCTTCGATACCGGCGCAGGGCGTGTCTCTGTTCCCAAGGAAATTGCTGGCGCAATCTACTACAATCTCGGTTGGGACATGGACAAGCTCCTGAGTGGCGAGCAACGCTTCACGTGCGAGGCTATGAATGCCTCTTGGGCCATTACCTTCACCTTTGGCGAGGGCGATCCCGCAGATGACGTGTCTTTTAGCCTTCGCGGCGATGAGTTCCTCGACCCAGAAGACCCTTACTGCCAGCCGCCCTTGGACGACAGTACAGAGTATGGATTTGCGCTGATTGGCACGACCTTCTTGCAGAGGTACTTTTCTGTTTTTGACTTTGGCGCAGACAAGGTTGAGAACTACAAGCCTAGGGTGGGCTTCGGAAAGCTCAAGGACGAGTATGCCTGGAAGTATGGCATGAAGAACTAATGTAAATACTACGGCTGCCTTGTTCACTACGAATAGACTATATTTCTAATTGCACAGCATGTTTTAGAGAGCTAGAGAAGGTCTTGGCATAATGAATTACTTGAATTAGTAGAATCATCTATAAAAACCTCATTTCTCTGGAACCACTATTACAGCAAATTGAACAAGGGGTATAAGCACAAAGGACTCTGCATAGTTACCCTGAGCTCTCTGCCTAGGCTCTCCTCTACTTTAGCTATACATATGCACACATGACTATTGTCGTGTCAAGTCATGGCGCAACCATGGATAATTCTACAACACGGGAGCTATTCTACATGCCCCCGTAATCCTACCCCTTGAGCTTCTCCGCCAGCCGCTGCCTTTTCCTTGCCTGGCGTGTCGCCTCATCCGCCCTCTTATCCACCAGGCGCACAAAAGTCTGATTGGGATCCCTCCTATACGCCTCTTTACTCCCAATCCAATACCTCGCCCACTCTCCATTCACGTTGGTCCCACAGTCAGAACACGGCCCATGGCAAAAGACTAGGGCATTTCCTTGCACCACTGCCCGGCGGCTCAATCCACAGTGAGTGCAAACATGCAAGTAGCGGACTGGAGCGTGTGCATCAGGCGGGTCGACGAGCGTCACGTGACGCGGAAGAGGCGACAGAATCTCCGACGAGTGGCAGGTGTGACATAGAATGTGTGTGCAGCGGGGGCAGCAGAGACGGTCAAAAGGAAAGGGGCCCTTGTAGTGTGTGAGGATGTTTTCGTGCAGACAGCGACAGCAGCGCCAGAGGCCGTCGCCAATGTCGGCGTCGCTCTGCAGGGCGCGGAGAGAGGGGTATGCGTTTTGGTAGATCAGAGACTGTCGTGTTGGGGATTCGGCAGGGATGGCAGAGCAAAAGTCGTTGTGTAGGGTGTGGGATGACGAAGTGGATGGTGACGGGCGTTCAGCGGGCCTCGGCCTGGTGCCTTTCCGGAAGATGCTTGTAAGAGTCGATGTGGTGGCCTTGAATAAGCAATGTAGGCGGGAAGCGCTGCGCTGACGTCCCATGTCTGCTAACGATGAAGGCATTATATTGCGTCAAGGCCCGGTGCTCCATGTCGGCGTTTGGGATGAGGGGGACTGGTTGTGCCTTCTTCCCTATGGGTACTCGGGGGCGCTGGCAAGGCGCTCTTTCTCGTTGGCGCTCTATTCCGTGTTGTTGAGGAACACGATAGGGCAGTTTCGCCCACTGCAACGGCGTGGCTACATGTCGGGATGGTGGGCAGGAGACGGGGTTAGTGGGTGGCGGTGTTTGTGGCGGTGTTTGTGGCGGTGGTGCGCCATCCCACAACGCGGCGGACCCTGGCCTAGTTTGCTGACGCGCCTCAGACTTCTTACGTACTTAGTTGGTACACTGTACTGTCTCGCTGTCCTCAACTCGCGTGCCTGTCTCTCATTCCCCCCTAACCATCCCACCGCCGCCATGATCCAGGCACTTCTCCAGGTGCGTCCACTTGCAGCAATTGACGGCTCGCTTAGACACTAACACACTCCCGCCACAGCGCCTGGCCCGCTGGCTCGATCGGCCGCTTTTCCCATGGAGGCGTCTGGTCGTCGGCTTCTCTCTCGCCGAGTTCGCCCTCGAGAACTGGCTTCTCTACCGCCAATATCGTGTGCTGCAACGCACCACTGTCCCCAAGGCCCTCGAAAAGGAAATCAAAAAGGAAACGTTCGACAAGTCACAGGTGTGCAAGACATGGCCCGCGGCCCCATCGGGCAACGCTCGCTGACATTGATGCCCACGACAGGAATACGGCCGCGCCAAAGCAAAGTACAGCTTCCTCCACGGTCTCTTTAACCAAGTCAAACACCTCGCCTCGCTCTACTTCAACCTCTACCCGCTGGTCTGGGCTGCTGCCGGGACCGTCATTGCCCGCTATGCGCCCGCCCGCTTCTCTGGAGAAATCTCGCAGTCGCTCCTGTTCATGTACATGCTCGGCTGGATCGACCTGGTCGCCGGCCTGGGCTTCTCGTACTACCACAGCTTTGTGCTCGAGGAAAAGTTCGGCTTCAACAAAATGACGGTCAAGCTGTGGATTTCGGATATGATCAAGGGCCAGGCGCTGGCACTTGTCTTTGGCATTCCCATTGGCAGCGCCTTCTTGTCCATTATCAACTGGGCGGGCCAGGGCTTCTTCTACTACCTCTGGATGTTCATGCTGGCCGTGCAGATCACAGGCATGACCATCTACCCGATTTTCATTGTGCCCATGTTCAACAAGCTCGAGCCGCTTAAGCCCGGCAAGCTCAAGGAGTCTGTCGAGGCGCTGGCTTCCAAGCTGCACTTCCCGCTTGCCGAGCTGCAGGTCATTGACGGCAGCAAGCGCAGCGCCCACAGCAACGCCTACTTCACGGGCCTGCCCTGGATCGGCAAGAAGAAGATTGTCATCTACGACACGCTGCTGGAGAAGAGCACGGAAAAGGAAGTTGAGGCCGTCTTAGCCCACGAGCTCGGTCACTGGAAGATGAACCACACGTCACGACTCTTGTTCATTAGCCAGGCGCATCTATTCTACGTGTTTGCCCTCTTTTCCGTCTTTATCGGCAACAGCTCACTGTATGCCGACTTTGGATTCCACGGCGAGAAGCCCACGATTGTCGGCTTCATGCTCTTCAACGAGATACTGTCGCCCACCGATTCGATTGTCAAGCTTCTCCTTAACATCTGGACCCGCAGCATGGAGTATGAGGCCGGTACGTGATGCGCGCACTGGTTCCCTGTGCATATCAAAAACTAACGCCGACTCTAGATGCCTTTGCTGTCAAGCTTGGATATGCGCGCGAACTTGGTGCCTCGCTGATCAAGCTCCAGATCCAGAACCTGTCGAGCATGGACGCCGACTGGTTCTACTCTAGCTTCCACCACTCGCACCCAATCTTGACGGAGCGCCTCAAAGCCATGAACTGGGTTGGCGACAAGAAGGTTGCCAACGACAAGGCGGCAGACGAGGACAAGGCGGTGAAGGCGTCGGATCGTGAACTGTAGGTCTGTGTATGTATGTGTGTGTGTGTGTGTGTGTGATGCCCAAGATGAATCGAGGCCATGGGTATCGAGGTGCGCAAGGCTGTGCGCAAAACATTCAGCAATAGCAAGAAAGCTCCAATGCCATGAGAAGATGCCGCGCCGACGAACAAGGCAGTATTGTTAGTCGGCCTTGTTGGCCTGTGTCGTCTTTTCCCTCTTCCTTTGCATATCCCTCTCCTTCTTGGCCTTCTTCCTCGCCTCCTTGTCTATCCCCCCACTTGCCGTCGCCTGCCCATCGTCTGCCTGCTCCTTCGTCCTCTTCCTTGCATCCTTGGTCTGTACCTCTGGCTCCTCTCCGCCCTCTTGCACAAGATTGCTCCTCTCGCCCACGTCGCCCACTTCAGTCACGCCTTGCTCAGCCTGATACGCCGCCATGTCCTGCCACTCCTCGTCGGCCACCCCACTCTTTGCACCACGCTGCTGCTGCTGCTCCTGTTCCCGTTCCTGCGCTTCTAGCGTCTTATCCGGCGCTCGGTACTCACCACGCATGCCCGCTGCCACGCGCCGCAAATGGTGCATAAGCGGATTCCCCATGGCGCCGCCCTGCGAATTGAACGTCACACCGTCGGGTGTTATCAGCGCGTCGGGGTGCAGATGCGCGTGTGTCTGCGAGTCTTCCAGGTACTTGTCCAGTAGCGCTGATGCGGCGCTGAGAGAGACTGGCGCACTGGAAATGTGCCGTCTGGGAGGATGGCCTTGGAGCAGCATTTTTGGGGTCTTGTCTTGTTCACGATTGGCTTGTTTGTGCGTGTATGTGAGTGATGGGAAGAGGAAGAAGGTGGTCTCGGGTGGGCGAGGACCGGAGCAAGCGCAACTTTTTGCGCACGGACGCAAAATGCGGACTTGTCAGCTTTTGCGGGCTTGCGGCGGGCGCGCGGCGGGCGACTGCAACCACAGGCACTACCTTTACCCAAGCATCAAGGGAAAAGGGCCACAATGAACGCATTCCGCTGCCTGAGGGCTGCTGCTCGCCCTGCAGCAAGCGCCGCTACACTCGTCCGACCACAACTATCGGGCGCTGCACAACGGTACCATCTCGCCTTGCCCTGGCTGGCCACAGGGTACCCAGTCCAAACTAATCGCCTTCGCCAGGTCCCAAACCCGCCACATATCTCTCCTCAGTCGCCGTCGTCCCATGCTCGCCGCCTCGCCCTTCTCCCCCGCCCTTCTCCCCCCACCAGGCTCCTCGCCCGCCAGCCCCACCTGTGCCGCAGAAACACTCGATCTCGCGGGCAAAATCTCGACGCACCCGGGCCTCGGAAGCCTACAGCTTCGATGCGGACCGCGCGACACATACAACCCTAGCCATCTCGTGAGAAAGCGGCGCCACGGTTTCTTGAGCCGACTCAGGACGCGGAAGGGACGCAAGACGATTATGAGGAGGTTGAACAAGGGGAGGTGGAACATCAGTCATTAGGTTGCTGACAGTTGGCCTGGCTCGTAGCGGCTGCGTGGGGATGTATTGCGGGTAGAATAGGGCGGCTTTGCTTGTGTATTTCGTCGAGTTGCTGAACCAATGTCTCCAGTTGCAACCTATGTCGAGCCTCGAGATGCAGCGTGACTTGGGGGGCCATGGTACGTATCGTCGTCCAGCACGACGATTGCCATGTCAGGCCCTAACCGGTCACCACCGTCTTTCGGTTTGGCTTCTGAATCTTCAGACGCCGCGCAACGTACTCACCCGTCCAATGTCCAATGCCAAGCCCTGAGGTCACGTGACCTATGCCGTACTCCAGAAGACGCCCATGAAGGTACACTGTGATGCGCTTCCATGTCTCTTCTCCAAGCACGGTCATTTCATGTTGCTGTTGATGGCACCGTGCCCTCCTTGGCCACCTCTTTCACAGCCCCTTCCCCAGTACTGCCATCTAAAGCTCCTGCAGGCTTCAACCCCTCGTCCATCTTGTCAATCTGCTTGAGAATAAACGCAATCGTTGCATCCCGCGCCTTGTCCACCCTCAGTAACGCCTCCATAGTCAAAGCCCCATAGTCTTGCAACTTCTGCGGCGTCGGTGGCTGCGCGTGTTCGCCTTGTGCCTTTGCCTTCTTCTCACACAGCAACTTCCTCAGGGCAAAGATGTTGTAGTCTCGCTCCTGGAGGTTGCAAATCAAGTCGCTGCGGCGAGCTTCCTCGTCGATCTTTTGCTTTTTAGTCGCCTGCTCTTGCTGCGCCTGCGCCACGGCATCCGCATACTTGCGAATGGCTTCCTTAGCACACGTCTCCATGTGCGTGAAGCGAATGGGCCCTATGTTTTGCCCGCCGTACCACCGCGCGACCACGATGCTCCCGCTTGTCCCCGTGTCGCCGAGAAGGTTGCTAAGCCGCATTCCCGCCCATTTCTCCCCGTCGTCGTCGTGACCTGTGTCAAAGAGCAGCCGCGACCCGGGCGTCAGCGACTTTTGGCGCGATGGCTTGCGCCATGCGGCAATTCTATGGCTGGCGGTTTGGAATTGGCCGAGGCCTTGGAGCGCTTTGGCAGAGAGGGTTGGAGAAAAGGCCGCTGTGAAGGATGATGTTTGTTCATGGATGGTGCTGGATAGGTAGATTTCTGATGCTAGTGCTTGTAGCGGCGGCGACGGTGAATGTTCTCTTTTCGCAGACATTTCCTTGTGATCTTCTTCATTCTTCTTGGGAGAGTGAGGTTTGTATGGGTAGGGGGGTTAGGATTGGGGTTGTGGTTGTGGTTGGGGTTGCAGGGATCAGTGGCTGGCATGACGCGCTAATAACGCCCCATGAAAAGTCGTCAGCACTGGTACTGGTATGATGGCAATTCTTCCCGATATGATCACCACGCCCATGCAACACACTCAACTGGGACAACGAAGCGAATCTGTGGTATCGGCACCGACCCCCCGGCTCATTTACCATGTTCTTTCTAGTGCTAAATTAGGCTTGCTATATCAAAGCGCACATGCTGTTCGCATACCCTACACATCGACACAATCGTTCACCAAGTCTTGAGGTACATTTCCACCTTTGTGGTCATTACTCTTTCACTTGATTTGGGTACTTAGTGAGACAGCATCAAGGACATGGTTTCCGTTCCACTGCACCCTTCTCTACCCCTTGTCAAGCCCATCACACACGGCTAGCACTTTCTTCATATTAGCTGCCCCTTTTCCTCTGACAGCAGAAGAACTCTATTCAATAACATGCAGTTCTCTCGCGACATTCGTGATTTTCGTTGAGCCCATGTCGATGGCTAGTCTCTGACGGCTTTCACTCACCACTCTTCTGAATACGTTACACCAAGCTCCCAAGACTGCCTCTCCCACTAGATCCCCACTTGCTACGCCGTTTCTGGTCTATCTACAACCTGTCACGTCCGTGAAGTGAAGGATTAGCGCGCTTAGCGCAGTCTCGGGCACATAAATACCCTGTCGGCTTTGGTCACTGACCTGCTTTCACCCACTGTTCCGCGCAACCCGCTCCGCTCTTCAGGTCGGCGGATACTTCTGGGACAATTCTTCAAGGCAAGTTTTCTGCATGGGCCTGGGGTGTTATTATCGTCCTCGCTCGCAATCAGGCTCTTGTTGAGAAGAACCTCCCGCCCGCAGTCTTGGTATCGCCCAATCAAGTTTGCCTTGCTCACTCACAATCTAGGCAACCGTGGTCAGTACTGTCCATCTCAGAAGCCTCTCCTGCGGCTATAGGCACCAAAATAGCAAACAAGTTACCAAAGGCATATCAACTCTAAACATGCGGCGCTTCGAAACCCTCAATCCAGAAACCAAAGATCTGGTACAATGTCTTCTTCCTGCTCTGGCTACATCCTTTCGAGTCGCCTCCGCCGTGGACATTATTCCCCAGGATATTCGCATGCGTGCGTGGGACTGTGAGCGCCGCGACCACATCAAGGAAGAAACGGAGAATGACCCCCGCAACTGGGGCGTCCAGTTCCTCAAAGACCTCATGGCCATTTCGCGGCTCAAGAACGGTGACCTCGCAACGTTCCAAGCGGATCTACGCGCAAAAGTCGCTTTGCATGAACCCAAGCATCCCTGGTGCCGCTTGGCTGATATCCGCGAGATCAAGGATGAGTACGAGCATCCGGAGCGCAAGAACCAGGTCGAAGTTGAAGAATCGTCCGAGAGCTCATCCACCGATTCGTACTTTGAGGAGTTGGTCGAGCCCGACCGCCCCAGAGGCACAAAGCGTCGTAATGGGGCTCACGAGGTCTACGAGGCCCGCGTAATGGAGAAGCGTCGGAAGCGTGAGTTGGAACCTTGTTTCTATGTCTATGTACTCTGAATCTAAGGCGTAATACTAACAATTCACAGATAAACCTGGCCGCCTCCGTCGAGCTGAGACAGGCGGTTTCCAGCGCCACGACCCATGCACGAAGAAACGCGATCGTGCAACCAGCACACCCAACAGCACCCGCACAGCTGCCCACCGCACCAATCGGGTTATTCTCTCTGATGATGAAGACGAAAAAGAAGGCTCCGTCAAGTCGTTTCGCGCCCGATCTCTGCTTCCGCACCCCACCCCGGCTTTCTCTGTGTCTCCCGGTCCTCAGGCGGATTCCGTTCTCGACCTTCAAGCCGTCGACGTATCCAACGAGCCACTTGCAGTGCAGAAACTGCAGGCCGAGTTGGAAGTTGCCGAGGCGGAGCTCAAGGCTGCAAGATTGAAGTATCAGTACATCCAGGCCAAAGAGCAGGCCAAAGAGCAGGCTGAGAGGGAGGCCGGCGGTGCTCACGACGGTGCTCACGACGGTGCTCACATGTTTGGTTAGGGGTATGAGTGCCAGTAGAGATTTTCGGGCATACAGTGGGGAATGATTGTCATGAATGGGGTTCACACGTGGACAGTGTGCCTTTAGCGGAGATGGTCTTTTTCATCCACTTCGATGACGGGGACAGAAGGGAGGCTGGAACTTGATATTGCTCGCATATGCCCGCGCTCTATGTATCATGGTAGTTTTGCCCGGCACAAATGGAAATGCTAGATCTATATCACTGGTTATGCATTGTGCTTGTGCTGCGGCACGTGACGTGAACGTTGCAAGAAGGGTCGTGCACCGTTGTTGTTCAGATAAGCATCATCAGACATGCGGTGCGCGAGTGGGGCTGCTGCCTGCTTAGATGCGGGAGATTCTTCTCTTCTTTTCTTTGTTCCTTCTCATCACCGGCCGGGTCACGCGTTTCCCAGACGTTCAGATGCATCACGTGCAGGGCGAGATGCCCCAGGCCATGTCCACGATGCAGGTACGTGCACGTGCACGTGTGTGCTGCCACTCGCCACTCGTACCTGCCTGTCTTGCCCGACATGCTCTGCAGCCCAACCGCTTTGGGACGCAGCCCCGGCGTTAGCGCCTCTCCGCACTTTGCTGCCCCCGCCCCCGGATCTTCTCACCGTCCGTCCTGATTCCGAGGCTCGTCGTGAGAAACTTTCTGCATCCAACATGACCCGCCGCCATGGACCCCCCATCGCACAAGAGAGTTTCCAAAGCATGCGACGCCTGCAAACGCAGAAAGGTGCGTTGCAACGGCCAGCCCCGCTGCCAGCAATGCGCCCACTTGGGGCTGCGTTGCATCTACTCGCCCTCTAGCAAACAGAGGTCCCAGGGCAAGAGAGGCCATATCATTTCGGAATTCAGGAAGCAGACGTCCAGCTTGCCCGCCATATCCCCGCCGATACTGCCGGCCCATGCAGGCCAGGCCGACTACCATGCGCCATTCAGTCCCCTTTCGCCCACGGCCAGCCTCAGCCACGCCGAATCTAGTATGTCTGCTGGAATCTCCTTCAACAAACTGCTGGGAATGCTGCTACTGACCCCGGGCAGCCTCTCCCGCATCCTATCTTACCCCACAGTACACCAAGGCCTTCTTTCTTGACCTCATACCCGACTATGTCGAGGGCGTGTATCCAGTGCATCCCGTCATCACTGCCTATGAGCTCCGCCAGTACATTGATGTCATGGACACTGACCCTGATGTGCGCTCTTTCATCTACTCGTTTGGCGGCTGCACCCTCAATCTCACCCGCTACGGCGACCGCAGGACAGCACAAGTGGTCCAGACGATTGAAAGACTCATGGACTGTTCCATCGACACAATGAGACGAGCTCACAAGCATCTACAAGTCTCGGTCATGCGGGCAGTGCAGTCCATGTTCATTCACAACTGCCTCATGAGTCTCCAGCGCAGTGACGCCGCCTTCTTCTACATGCGGGACGCCATTACCATCATCCAGCTCCTCAGGATAGACAAACCGGAGAACGTAGCACAACTCTCACCCCCTGAGCGGTCCCGGAGACAGCGGCTGTACTGGCAAGCATTCATCCATGAGCGTTTCCTAGCCATTCTGGACTATCGTCGCGCAGTCCTGCCGCCGCTGTACACGATGCCCGAAGACGATGCCACGCTGTCGATCCAGGTGCACGAAGGCTTCAACCAGATCATCAAGCTATTTCGACTACTAGATACAGAATTTCTCAACAGTTGGCTCGATTCGCAACGTGGGACCGTCACCAGCACTTGGGTCGAGGCCAAGTCGCGCGAGCTCGAGGGGGACCCAGAAACGGACGCGCGGGAACTCGCCATGCTTTCCATGATGCAGCGTGCCGATCTCTGCATAACGCGCGAGTGGCTGCGCACCCTAGTCTGGCGCCTTGCCATGAGCCAAACCCTGCTTTCATCCCGCTCGTCCAAAGAATGCCTCTCGCTTCTCTTCCCCGTGCGCCTCTCTCAAACACTCCGCCAACAAGTCTCGAGCATGTCGCGCCAAGACATTGAAGTCCACGGCACCAGCATCACACAGAAGCTCTTTGAGATTACCGACACAATCGCCGACGTGCTGATCCACGTTCCCGCTGCCACGCTTGACGAAACCGCCCTCCGGATTGACGACTTCCTCTTTATCCTCGACTTTGTCCTGCTGATCCCGCATCTCGATCACACGCGTCGCGGCATTTTGCTGGAGAAGCTAGAGCGCCTACAAACCATGTTCCCCGAGGCTCTCAGCAATGCTAGCTCGCCCAACCTCCAGCCCGACTTGCAGAGCCCTAGCGCTGCAAACGACCCTTGGTACCAGGTCACGCAGTCCAAGACGGCAGCGGGGCTGGAAGACATGGCAGACGAGGTAGGCCAGGCGCAGGCGCCAACGGGTGACGAGGTACCGAGATCGGAGGTCAGAAACGGGCTCTTGGCTACATGGAATACCATTTCACGGCGCTTGTCTATGCAGGTAGCTACCTTTGGTGTTGTCTAGCGAACATTCAAAGTTTTTTTTTACTGATTGTTTCTTCACCATTCTTGTAGATGATAGAATATAGTTTGAATCTTGTCTCGAAAGAATAAATCAAAGTCAACAAATAGATATCTTACCTAGGCCAAAAGATAAATCCTGCCTTCAAACGGCTTGAGTGTCTTCTCCTGCACGTGGCCTCCATCATCTTCTGCACTGCTCACCAGCAATTCCATCTTTTGCTGTGCCACACTGGCCGGGAAGACAAAGTCCCTCTCTGCATCGGTAAAATTACATACACAAAGAGCCTTTTTATCGTCCCACGTTTTGGTAAAAACGTACAAATGCTCATCGTCAAGGTCCAGATCATCGTATTGACCATGAACGAGTAAGTCAGTGTACTGTTTGCGTATCCCGAGAATGCGCGTCCAGAAGCCCAAGACGGATTTGCCGTCCTGTTGCTGCTGTCGCGCATTGCACAAGGCGGCATCATCCAGCGGTCGCATCCAGGGCTTGTCTTTGGCATCAGGCGGACTGAAACCATTGTACTTGTCGGTACTCCAGCTCATTGGCACGCGCGCGTGATCGCGCGCAAGGTGCTGCAGCGACTTGTGCACTGCGGCAAGCGCATCAGCATCGTTGTTGGTGCGCTTGGCAACCATTTTGTAGTAGTTGGTCGACTCGACATCTTTGTACTCTGACATGTCCCACGACTCTGGGAAATTCACCATGCCGAGTTCCTGGCCCTGGTAGATGAAGAGGGTTCCGCTGAGACCACACATCATCAGCGCGAGCATCTTGCCGCCGGCAACGCGGTGCTGCGGGCTGTCCGAAGTGAAGCGTGTGATGGAGCGGGATTGGTCGTGGTTTTCGAGGAACACGGTGGTCCAGCCATCCGAGGGCGGGCGCACGAGATCTTGGGTGCGGGCAATGGCGCGTTTGAATTGCGGCAGAGTCCAGTTTTTGGGTGTTGTTTGGAATTTGTAGGGGCCTTGGCCAACATCGACTACATCCTGTTTGGCCATGTGTTAGTGTCATGGTGCAAGACGCATGGCTGGCGCAGAACAGTGCACACTTACGAATTGGAACACCATAGAGAGACGCTTTTCCTTGGCGCTCACGTACTGGTGCACTCTGTTCATGTCGAGTGTATGGGGGCATTCGCCAACCGTCATGGCATCATACTTTTCTAGGATCTGGTTCATCTCGGCTAGAAACTCATTCATTCGTGGGCCGTTGCAGTACTGGTAGCCGGCGAACTGCCATTCTGAGCCGGGATCTGTGATTGGGGCGTCGTGCATGTCGCCTTTGCTGTACATGTTGACTGTGTCTACGCGGAAGCCGTCGACGCCGCGCTTGAGCCAAAACTCCATGGCAGACTCGTAGATGGCTTTGCGCGTCTCTGGGTTCTCCCAGTTGAGGTCAGGCTGCTCTGGGCAGAAGAGATGGAGATAGTATTCTTCAGTGTGTTGGTCCCACTCCCAGACGCTGCCCGTGAAGTTGGAGACCCAGTTGTTGGGGGGCTTGCGTACGCCATCGACGTAGCGAGCAGGGCGCCAGATGTACCAGTCGCGCTTTGGGTGGTCTTTGGAGGAGCGCGACTCCTGAAACCATTTGTGCTGCCAAAGTCAGGACTGAAACTATGTTTGCATGTCGGCAACATGTGGGCAGCGTACTTGGTCAGATGTGTGGTTGACTACGAGATCCAGGATGATCTTCATGCCCCGCGCATGTGTTTCTTGAATCAGCCGCTCCATGTCCTGCACGGTGCCATATGGGCGATAGACGTCTTCGTAGTCTCGGATGTCATAGCCCATGTCGACTTGGGGAGAGTCGTACATGGGGCATATCCAGATGACGTCGACGCCGATGGAGCGGATGTAGTCGAGCTCGGAGAGAATGCCATTGAGGTCGCCAATGCCGTCTCCATTGCTGTCTTTGAAGGAGGCGGGGTATATCTGGTACACGACGGCATCCTTCCACCACGGCCTGGGCGTGACGGTCATGGTGCTCGAGTGCGGCAGGGGGTCTTGGGCCGAAGCACAGTAGCTGTTGTTTGCAAACGCGACGCAGTGTGGCGACTGAGAAGCGGCTTCTGCGGCCCCAGAGGCGCCGGATGCTGTTGTTGCGGTCGCCTTCTTATAACGCTGTCGCGGTGGAGCAAGAGCAGTGCATGCCGTGGGCCTCCCCGCACGTGCACGTGGAGATGGTCTCGGAACAACTATCGGCCGGATTCTGCCTGGCCGCAAGCCGGGCCGACAGCGCGGGCACCCGCAACTGCCACGGCCAAGCAACGGCATGCCCATTCCTCCCCGCAGTCAAGCAATGGCGCATCGCACATCACTCCACCACGCATCCTCCGCCCCGCGCGCATCCCAGGCGACCTGTGTCTTCACGGCCAGCCTTCACGTTGGCGTCCCCGTCCCGCACGCAGTCGCCCCACTAGCGCATCGAGCGACGGTGCATGCGGAGAGCGAGCGGGCCCGGCTTCTCGACACTATCGATTCCCAGCAGCCGACATGGCACCAATGACGCCCGAACAGCCTCGCGCCTCAGCAGCAGCAGCAGCAGCAGCACCACCACCACCACCACCACCACCATCATCATCATGATTGCCACGACCAGCCGCCCGCCGTCATGGCCGCCTCACGTGACCGGCACGCCCGCCCTACCCCCTACCCCCCAGCGTTGAGCGTTTTTCTGCTTCGGACCGACTTTGGGCAAATGGACGGCAGCCAGAGTGCCTCCGAGATTGGCCATGGCGTTCTCTCGTCGGCACTCGTCGCCCCCTACGGCCTAGCTGCTGGGCCGTGACCAGCGCGCGCACAACATGGCCTTGATCTTCCACAGCAGTGGCGTCTCTTCCCCCGCATCCTCTGGCTCACTCCACCGTCCATCCCCAGCTCTAGACTTGGCGCGAGCTTGGGCTACATGCCTGTCGACTGTCTGGGGCCGTGAAGCTGTATAAGTAGAACCTGGGGATCCTCAACGGCGGGTCCTCCCCCAGCGCAAACGCGTCCCACCAGCTCCACGCTCCCCACGAGGTCGGGCCCAGACCCACAGCAACCTTCTTCTGCCTCAATTGGACCCTCTTGTCCTTGTCAATCCAAGCCAGACATCGCTCCCCGACGCCCCAGCTATGTCTCACCGCAACAGCAACGTCGTCGCTGTCGACGCGGAACAGGCTCGCCGCCTTTCCATGGCCGTCCCGGACATCAAGCAGGTCGTCCACGATGCCAGCAAAGGAACACAGTCTGAACAGCACATGACGCTGAAGCAAGGCATACAGCTCTACCCAAAGGCCATTGCTTGGTCCGTTCTACTCTCCGCAGCCATCATCATGGAGGGTTTCGACAAGGTTCTCATCGCCAACCTCATGGCCGTGCCAGCCTTCAAGCGAAAGTTTGGCTCACAGCTCCCCAATGGCGACTGGGAGCTGACGGCAGCCTGGCAAGCCGGCCTTACAAACGGCGCCTACGTTGGCGAGTTTACGGGTTTGCTGCTCAACGGCCTGATTGCCGACCGATTCGGATACAAGAAGACGATGATTGGCGCCCTCTTCGCCACCAACCTCTTCATCTTTATTGTGTTCTTCGCGCAGAACATCACCATGCTCCTGTGCGGTCTGATCCTGTGCGGCATTCCCTGGGGTGTCTTCCAGACGCTCACATGCACGTACGCCGCAGAAGTCGTTCCAGTCCCGCTTCGCCCGATCCTCACAACCTACGTCAACCTATGCTGGGTCATTGGCCAGTTCCTCGCCTCAGGTGTCCTCAAGGGCGTGGCTGAAATACCCGACCAATGGGCCTACCGCATTCCCTACGCCCTGCAGTGGCTGTGGCCTCTCCCACTGATGATCGGCATCTCGTTTGCCCCAGAATCCCCTTGGTGGCTCGTGCGAAAGGATCGCTATGACGACGCCAAAAAGATGCTGATGCGCTTGACGTCTCCCGAAAAGCTTCCCGAGTTCAATGCCGACGAGACCATTGCCATGATGCGCCACACAAACACCATGGAAAAGGCGGTATCTGAAGGCACTTCGTACCTAGACTGCTTCAAGGGAACCGACCTCCGACGAACCGAGATTTCTGCCATGGCTTGGTTTACCCAGGCTTTCTGCGGTGCTGGCCTCATTGGCTACAGCACTTACTTCTTCCAGCAAGCCGGCCTCAGCGACTCGAATGCCTTCTCCATGAGTCTGGGCCAATACGCAATCGGCGCTGTGGGTGTCTTTGCCGCCTGGATCCTCATTCAACGAGTCGGACGTCGCACCCTGTACGTTGTCGGCGACCTTGTCATGGTGATACTTTTGTGCATCATTGGCGGTCTCGGTGTGATCCCAAAGGGCAATGTTAGTGCGCAATGGGGAATTGGTGCTATGCTTTTACTCTTTGCTGCGGCGTACAACTGTACTGTCGGCCCAGTCTGCTACTCAATCGTTGCGGAAATCCCCTCTACTCGCCTTCGACAAAAGACGGTCGTCATAGCGAGGAACTTTTACAACTTTGGATCCATCATTGGTAACATCATCACCCCACGCATGCTCAATCCTGGTGCGTGGAATTGGGGCGCCAAGAGCGGTTTCTTCTATGCTGCAACTTGCTTTGGCTGCCTCGTCTGGGCTTTCTTCCGCCTTCCGGAACCCAAGGGCAGGACATTTGGAGAACTCGACATTCTCTTTGAGAGGCGCGTACCTGCCCGCAAATTTGCATCCACTGTTGTAGACAGCTTTCATACTGTAAGCGATGGGGATAGCGACTATACGGAGAAGAAGGGTGTCTCGACTCATCTTGAGCAAGTCCATTCCAAGGATACCATGTGACATTACCAAAGAGTGAAAAATGACAGCGCTATGTGGACTTTCGATTTTCATGACTTGTATGTAGCACGTGCGATGCAGTCTGATGTTTTTGCTTGTATATAGACCCCTGTACTTTGTGCTTCTTCTTTCTAGCCTGAAGCTTTCATGTAATGTATTCAAGGTGCTTTGATTCAGTGTAGTGTCGCCAGTGACAAGCTTGGATAGATTGTGCTTTACTCTACTGTTGTCAACTGAGCGTTTAGTGAAAGACTATTTAGAATCCACTGACAGCGCAAAGCGACATACGACGCTCGACTGTGTACATTTTAAATCTACCTACCACTGATTACCGCCTACCATTTGAACCTACCAGGCCTCTTGCCACTACCGCTTGCCACACGCTGGCCCGCCCGTTGCACACTGACGGCAGCGCCGACTGCGAGTCGGACAAGATGTGCATGTTTGAAGCTGCAATGTGTCGGAGCCGTGGTCACAGCTCTGTCTTTGTGAACTGAGATCTTGCACACACTGGTGCCGCTGTCATATGAGCAAAGCCTTTGACAGCTAATTCAAGTCGATTCTGCTAACAAAGTCTTGTCATCGTGGTCCCCAAGCAAAACACCTCAATGATTTTGATATGTTGCCATAGCGACAATCATGGAGATGCAATTTCCGCTTGTACAGATTATCAACCTTACGATGCTCCTTAGCAAGCCCCAATCAGTGAATAATGAAGCAAAAGTAGGGAAATGGACGTTGTTACCTTTGAGAGGCGATGACGACCAGCCCCTGCGCATCTTGCGGCATGGGCTTTTTCTTCTTGGACCCTGCTCGTCCTCGCACTCCAGGCGGTAGTGGCAAGCCGTTGCTGAGAAAATAGAGATACGGCGTTATAAGGTGCCATGGCATCAAGTGCGGCTAGCACCCGAAAGAGCCGAAGTAATAGCTGTAGCTGTAGCTGTGGCTGGGCTGGGCCACGCCCGCCCAATTGCGCAGAGACAGCAAAGTTTCTACATAACATGGACGCGGCGCTCGACCTAGGCAAATCGGTACAAATGTATTAGCAGCTGAATAGGTGTAGTCTCAAAAGGGATTGCGGTGCACGCTGAGGGAGAGGGCTCGATCAAAGTCTGGTCTTCCGGTTGAAAAGTCCAATTTCGGAAATCTCCATACTTATTCAAAGCCACCAACTGCCGCCACAGACATTCAGCTTCGTATCCTGTTTGGGGCCTAATGGGCCTACACCCGAACAAGCATGTAGTGAAAGCCGGCCATGTTGCTGAACTTCTCCATCATCTCATCTCGACTACTGAAGCAGAGCCACGCGTGGTTAGCGATTAGGTATGCGGGCTCTATGTTTGCGTGTTTTCCAAGGGAAAAGCAACCAAGAAGAGCAATCAAGATGCAGCGTTTCATCTTGACAAGCCATGACATCGAGGTACGCCATCCACTTATGACTGAGCATACGTGCAAGACATCGATGGCAATAGAGCCTGAGAGGCCTAAACCTACCCCGCACGCCTAGCACCTGTCTCAACTGAATCTTGGCAAGGGGTCGATAGCAATTATGTGACAATAAGGTTCTCAAGCACAAGCTGCAAGCACGTACAGTAGTTAGTGCGCAGATCCCCATGTTCCAAAGACTTGGTGCACGCCATAACCGCTGCATCGACGCCTTCGCCCGGCTCCCCCATGACTGTCAGCTCCTGGTTTGCAGCAAGATAAAGTTCAGCCACAATATCGTCGCCGGCTGGGGAATCTCAAAGCATGAGCTGATCGTGCCAAATCATGTGCATTTATAGAGTTGCCCCCTGTGCATCTGATTCTACAATCAACCGCCTTGTCGCCTCAGCTTCTACTCCTCCTATTGCTTATCTAACTGACCATCATGCGTAGCGACGGCCCAGAAGAATACGGCCAGGAAATCTCGTCAAATGCGAACCACACTGTCGTCACCCGAGGACCCGGCGTCGTTGTTGCGGCCGCAATACTGACCGCATGCATCTTTGCTACAGTCGGACTGCGCGTTTACACACGCCTCAGGGTCCAGAAGTGGTTTGGTCCCGATGATATCTTTGCAATCTTGGCTTTTGTATGTATGCGCTACTTGGGTCATACACGCACAGCTCAAGTAGAATGAATGCCTGGCTCATATTCGCAGTTCACCACACTTGGCTTCAACGTTGTTACCATTGTTGGTCATGCAAAATACGGGTGGGACAGGCATTCATGGGACATTCCCATCGACTTGATATCGAGTGAGCTCATCTCCTTCCCTTGTGTCGTGAAGCCTCGGGACTGATGTGATAAAAAGCTTCCATTGCGCTTTCTCCAGCTTCAAAGCTTCTCTTCAGTTGCTGTGCTTCTTGCACTAGGATGTCCTTCCTATTCCTTTATCACCGCTTGATCAAAACATTGGATATGCGTCGCTTCCAGATGTTCCTGTATGCTGCCATGGCGCTAGTTGTTGCCATCTTTGTGGCGGCATTTTTCTGCATCTTCCTACTTTGTTCGTAAGTTACGTAGCCGCTTTCAACCTCCATATCAATCATGCCATCCCAAATCCAGCTGACATGATTTGGCAGCCCTGCTAGAGCCTATTGGACCTTTCCACCTATCCCTGGCTCCAAATGCGTCAAGGAATTGCCCGTGCAACTCACCATGGGCTCCTTGCACACCATTGCAGATCTTGTCGTGACAATTCTCCCCATCCCCATTATTATGAGGCTCCCGTTGTCAAGGTCGGAGCGCCTTGGTGCCCTTTCTATGCTGAGCCTAGGTTTTGCAATTACCACTGCTGGTTGTGTTCGCATATATGATAGTTGGTACGCAAGCACAGGGAACCATGATCTAGCCTGGGATACCTGGTTTGTGTGGATTGCTGCGCTCGCTGAAGTTAATTTTGGCCTGGTGAGTAGTCTATTCGGGTTTCATCTTCTCCTCACAGGTCTATGTCGCTCCATGTATTAACTCTCTGACTATTGCCTAGATATGCTGCTGCGCTCCAACGATACGCGTCTTAGTCACCAAGAGACTGACACCCGTACTAAATGCTGCTCTCACCAATCTATCATCTTCCCACGGCAAAGACCAATCTGTCTCTAGCAAATCATCGGCGGCCAACGCTGTCTCTTGGGAAGATATTAGACTGCCAGAGCATTTGCTAGACAGTCCGTGACTAGGCGTTTGTTAAGGAACTATATACAATCGCTGTTTTGGTACCACTGGATGTACAGACATATCTTACAAACCAAGCGTAGTGAAATGTAACACCGATGTTGTCAATATCTATACAAGAGCCCCGATCTACAATCCAGATCTAGTTTCCGGACATGTATAAACGACCAACATGACATAGATATGTCTTTATTGTGAAAATACTCTCTCTAATTCTCTCAATAGAGAGTTCTTGGCCCTTGGTTCAAGCATCGTCGGGTATTATTGTTCAATTTGTAGATAGTGATTGGAATATGAACCCCCTTGTGATAGGTGGGGTCACAACGGCTACGAGCTGATTTGTGGCTGAATTGCCGGCAGCATGTTGTGCGTCGGCCGAATCGCCAGCATTTTTCGTTTTATTACCTGATGGAGCAATGGTAGAGTTTCTTCACAGAACAGCTTGCTCGGCACAATGAGTAGCTTTGAGCAAGCTAGAGGCATGAGAGCCAGTTGTAAACGTTGATTGCTCTGCTGCAGGGCAGAAGCACTGACAGTTTCTAAGGCATTGATGGCAGAGCTTGCATAGAATATGAGCGGCAGAGTGTTTTTCAGACGCTACCAGTGACGTAACATGCGATGGGGTGGCAAGTCAGGCGGAACTCGGCCTGATAGTGCAGCAAAGTCTGGCATGTCCACCGTCCTTGGAACTTGACTACCTGTACTATCTCATTCGTCATAGCCTCCTTCAATACTTTTCGATGTTGTAGGCTAAGATCCGCTGGGAAAAATCACTTGTAATTTTAATTCATTGTTTAGAATGACGTAGGAAAAGATAGTAATCAGAATACTATATTTTATCAATATGTATAGATGTCTACATCACATGCGGCCTTATATATACTATCTGGGAGATTCCTTAACTATAAGAATCTTTATTAAATTATTTCAGGCTGTCAATAGATCTAAGTGGCTCACTCTAACTATAAATAAAAGTAATAGCTACTTAGTTGATTTTAGCTATGATAAGACGTAAATACAACACCTAGCAAGATAATCTATGAATAAAAAGATCAATATCTCTTAATTAGACTGGCAAATGGGTCTCCACCTCGGGATCTCTTTTTCCACCATAGCTCTCTCTGTACTAGACCGATATAGACAACTAATAGCTTAATTTATAGCCCTAATTTAGATCTATTACTATCTAATAAAAAGTAACACGCTAGCTAGAATAGGTAAGAAGTTATACCTCTTCGGGCTAGCATGTGGAGACCCAAGTCTTGGCAAGGTGGGTAGGCTAATAACTTTTTACCTATTCTAGCTAGCGTGTTACTTTCTATTTGTTAGTTATAGATCTAAGTTAGGGCTATAAAATAAACTATTAGTTGTCTATATCGGTCTAGTACAGAGAGAGCTATGGTGGAAAAAGAGATCCCGAGGTGGAGACCCATTTGCCAGTCTAGCCACATCTCTTGTTTTGGCGTTTTCTTAAGTATTCACCCCTTCCACCATGCCCCCTTTGGATTACTAACTTATCAGAGAATATAATCTTTCTAAATCTTATATTAGTAATATCTTTTAGTCTCTTTTTAGCGTATTTAAATATATTTTTTAGCTTTTTTCTCGTTTAAAATAAATTTTTTTTAGCTATATTACAGCTATATCCCTCTTCTCTTAATAGGCGTTGTAAGCTTCTTTTTAAGAATATGACGTCATTTTCGACTGAAAGTCTTCTATTAGTCTTTTTTAGGCTTCTAGTTAGATCCCTATCAAGAACTCTTTTATCACTTTCTGTTATCTTTTTTTAAGCCCCTATTCTAGCTCTTTCTATTAGTTCTTTTTCTTTCTTCTTTTTCCTAACTCAGTATAGTGTAGTCTTAATACATTTTAGTTGCTTATTAAGTAATAAACAAATAGTTTTAGTAGATATATTTGCCTGTAAAAGATGGGCAATGTAACGGGCTGAGCGCCCTTCAGATAGCTCCTCGATGGAATCTCGGTGTTGTTGCCTGAGCAACGCTCAGATAACAAACGCCGGGTTGTACCCTTATAACCCGGCATCTGCGTGTCACCCAAGCAGCGCTTAGACAACGCGCACAAGCACTTGGCATAACCTTTCTCTAACAAGTATATAAACACTACGCAAGGCAGAGTAGATAGCTCTCTATTAAATACAATCCTTATATACCTAAGCGTTTGCTCTATAGAGCGCAGCCCCTTACATTTTGTATTTAATCCTAATTAGACACAAGCCCTAAGCAGACTATCTTCTAACTAAGTTTTAGAACGCGTTGTTAGCTTAAACTAATAACACAAAATTAGTGCTATAACGGGTACGAAAGGCCGTTAGTACAGCGTGTGGATGGATCGTCGCAAGATAGTACACCAAAGGCAGAGCTTCGCAGGAAGTTTAGCTGTAAGAGACAGTAGGCAAGCTAGTTGCCTAGGATCTATTAGAAAAGTCCTACTATGTCTTAGAAAACTAAGCTATAGGCACAGCCTAACGTGATAAACTATCTAAAGGACATTCAAGCCTTAACGAGGGTAGCTAGAAACGTGCGCTGTAGGGTAGTCCTGTCAATCCTCTATTAGACAAGGTGCAGGCCGTGCGATATCTCTTTAACAGGAAGACAAGATCCCACAAGCGAGACAGTAAGACGCGAGTCTTCCTAAGGACGCGACACAATAACAGCCAAACGCTGTTTATATCCAACTAGAAAGGAAGTACAGTCGTAGGAAGCCCTACTAGTCCTCACTAACAAGGAGTAGGCCGCAGTCTAGGACTGCGCGAGACGACCAAAGTGTGATCAGAAGCTCTGCACATTAGCAGGTAAGAAAACAAGACGTCTAAGAGCGAATTAGACAATAGCGAATAACGTTCTAAACTTAAATGTAGAGGAGTTAGCGGCCTACGCCACTGCTAAGAGCTAGGCAGGAGTACTAGATGAGGATATCCTGCGCGAAATCACACAGATGCTAAGGGAGGATAGTTAGAAGGAGGCAGCGATTAGACTAACAATCGAAGCGGTTGTTAAATGATTAATAGTCGCTAGGGAAAAGGGCTTACTAAAAGCTAGTTAGAACGCTGTGGCCTAGGTAATAGAGCAAATAATGCAGCTACTTAGCCCGCTAGCTAATCGCTTAGAGGCACTCAAACGAAACCAAACTAAAGGCTGTTTAAAGCCCACCTCGGCGATTAACACTACTCTATTGCAACTAGCTATAGCAGCTAAGCTAGCTACGCGTAAGAACAAGTTCCTAGATCTAGAACGTTTTAATAAGACAAGAGATAACTACCCTAGCTAGAAATTTAAATACAAAGGGAAACTAAAGTACGATTAAGCTATGTTCCCTACTAAGGACGCGAAGATCTAATACTTGCTTAGCCGCACGAAAGACAAGGCAAATTAGGTCCTGCTTCCTTAGGTTGTTAATAATATAGAGATAACTATCGCTAAGCTATAGGAGCACATAAATATGTTACAAGTAACAAGCAGAAGGATTCTTCCCTTGTTGGAATGGCGAGTGGTTGGAGAACCACTCAGGATGACACCAAAGGCACGACGACAACCCCGCGGTGATCACGTGACGTGTGCTCCCGCCAAGAGCCATGCTCCCGCCAAGG